TTCGTTTAGTCTGAATGATTGCATGAAAGGCCAGAGGAGAGACACCCAAAAGGACGTTCCTTAGACTTCTTACCATCACAGAGAAGGTCTACGAATAGGGTCCGTTTTAAAACCAATTTTGAAAGACTCATAACTTATAAACCCTGTCACTTCCTAGATCTTAAGGTAATTCTCCTAACTAACGATGAAACATTATTCCTTTGTGAGCATTTCCTGAGAAGTTGTTGTAACATCAAGGCAATAATAATAATAATAATATTTAATAGTCACTTCCACTCTACCCAACAGTGCATCAAAACTTTTAAGAGAACTTTTACAGAGATGTTGCAAATGGATTTTGAAGGTATTGCGTGACGCTCACGAAACAGTGTGTGTGACTTCCGTTAAATATCTGGGAGACTACGACAGAAGATGAAAATAATAGGAACATTCATATGAATTACTTGTATCTCTTTCAGAAAACAAGCGATGAAAGAAAGAGCTGAACAAAAGGCTAAAGAAAGAGAGGCACGGCAACGTCGAAGGGACGAAATACGACTGAAGTATTTAACATAATTCAGATCTATCTGAACGTCTATACAAGAGACATGAACATTCCTCTCCAGATAGCCATAGGGTGTGTGAAATACTAGATGACCTTTTGTTCTGGAAAATCTGCGCGAGTGAGAACGATGCAGAATAGGTCGTCACGCAAGTAAATCACGCGAGAAAACGCGTATGTTCTAAGCACCCTCTATTAAAAGAGACATAGCATATTAGGATCATATTGTCCGCATATTCAAGAAGAGATGTAGGTAAAGGATAAAAGTTTGAGCCAAAGCTCTATTATGTACATCGCCTGTATAAACAGAAATTCAAATAGATCACGTTTTTATTGATTATAATTCCTAGCTGAATTCGTCAACTCATTCCGGTAGAAATTTGGCCCATTTCTCACCTCAGTGCCCGAACCAGAAATGTTTGAGCGTGCTGGTGTTTTTTAGAATGTCCCCATGATAAATGATGTGTACATTTATATTCAAAGAAACATTGAGGATATGTATGAATTTCACTTACGTACTTTTCTCCTTGATTAAGCTTCTCGGTGGAAGATCTAAAATTCGTCGCAGCAAATTCACGACCGACTCATCAAATACTATACGTGAAGTTTGTAAATTATTTAAATTTTCGTATGTTCTAATTTAAAGACACGTTTTGTTCTCCATGCATATTAATGATAAATTTGCACGTGCTGATCGTCATCAACTGGATTATTATTAGCTCTGTTGTCCTACCAGCTTGGGCTTGCAAAGATACTTACTCATCCTGCAATCTTGCCTCGATACAGTCTCGATTACCCCGAGATTGCCTTGGCTTCGCTTTTCTACGTTCTTGGAATTGTTTAGAAAAAAAATGCTAACAAGATATAGACCAACACCAACTGAGTCAAAGTCAATCGCGTTTTTCGGTGTGAAAGGGTGTCTCGACTGATATGCGCTCCGAATGTAGTAAGATTGCAAGTGTTTTGATCAACATCGCTCTATTTGTCATCTTTAGTTATGCCCTTCCACAGAGAGGAGAGTAACCTTGCTAGAAATGGTTAAACCTCCTTCTGAGGTTATTCTATTCAGTCTTAGTTCGCTTTACACAGAGCAGGCTAACTATACATTTAGGGTTCTTAACAAAGATCGTTACCTGTGATGTGCCAAACGGAAAGTAAAGGGCTGTCTGTGGCTCTTGATTAATGATGTAACTAGAGCGAAATTTCTTGGTAGATAACACACCAGCAAGTTTTGCAGATTTTTTATTTACATGTCACAACTCCTGGCTGTTTTTTAAATTCCTTGGAATAAACGTAAGCTAGTTTGCGACCACAAGAAAAGTAAGATACAAAGAAAAAGTCGACATTCCACTGAGATGTAAAATACACAAAAAAAAGAAAAATAACTTAAGTGACAAACAAAACCAAAAAAATTCAAAATATTTTACATATTAATGGTTGTTAAGCATAATTGAAGATTCATTTCACCACTGCAAATCCCATTTGAAGGCTTATCTTGTAAACGTCAAAACGTGCTCCAATTTGTTTCACGCCTGATAAGCCACAGCAGTAGCCATAGTGGCGGTCTCTGCGGTCGAAACTGAATCAGGGTCTTCACTATTGATGACGTCATTCTGTTGCAGCTGTGAGGCCAGCGCAGCATCCAGAGCAGCCTTGGCGGCGTTTAAAGAAGGCTCGTGGGATTGCAATACCCCTGTCAAAATCAAACGCACATTGTACTCTCAGATGAAAACTCACTCTTACCCCAACTCAAGACAATTTAGTGTCCACAATAAGTTTCCATTAACATTCACTGCCTAGACACCAAACAGTTCTTTCCACTTTTGAAATCCAATAGTGTACGTCTTAAAGAGTACCTGAGTGATCCTCAGTTTCTGCCTGTCCATCATTCTGAGCTTCTTCTTCTCCTTCCTGCACTTTTTCCTGCTCGCCAATACTCAGTCCTCCTCCTTGAGTAGGCACCGCAACAATGGTAAACCCGTCATGCGTTCTTCTAGCGGTAGTCGTCACGCCATCCAAAGAGGTTACGACCACAGTGTCGGAATGTTGACCTGCCCCCGTTACGGCTTCTAGCGATGTCACCACCACAGTCTGCGGTGCGGAGACAACCTGTACTGACATGTCCAGCTCGTGTCCTGTGCTATCAGCAAGGGTGGAATTTAGCTGCTGCACCCCTTGTGACAGTGTCACGGCATGCTCCAGACTACCTTCCACTTGGATGGCGGCATCGGATGCTATGGCCACAGGAATGGCAATGTGGCCAGTCACGTGACCACCCTCGGCTATTTGGTGCTGAATATCGGCCAAGTTGCCGTCCATGGCTTGTAGCGCGGCTACTGAGGCTTCGTCGGCTATCACGACGGGCACGCCGTGCGCGAAGGCTTGGTTACCTGAGATGGTCTCTGTATATTCCAACCGCTGACGTTTGTTGGAGGGCTCTTCGTGACCTACGTCATATTCAGCTGAGAAGAATGACACGACTTACTTAAAGGGGCACATCACAAACAGATATTGCCTGCCCTGGGTCAGTAGGTTAGACACTTGCGAGCAGGCAATTTCTGTAATTACTTTATGAACACACCAACTGCCCATAATCTGTAGTCACTAATCTCAAACGAAAATCCCAATGATGTTTTTGAAACAGGGACATATTCGAAAGTTCATTCTCAGGTTCGATTTTTGGTTTTGTCTTCGCCATAACAAAAAAAGCGCACAGACGCCACAAGGCGGTTACGAAAGTGAGCCTAGCCGGACAATTCCGGAACAAAGAGGCGTAAGTCCATCAGCTCTTCCTATCAACGGACACATCTCAATGCTGCTGTGTGTGAAGTGTGAAGTGTGAAGTGCGAAGTGCATAGATTTCTCACCTTCACCCAAATTATCAACGTCAGCCATATCACAATGAGCAGTTCTCTTGTGATTGGCCAGTGTGGAAGTTTGTCTGTAGGTCTTGTTACAGATGTTACACGTGTATGGCTTGTTATGGGTGTGGACCACGTGATGCTTATACAAACTGGAGTATTCTGTGAAGCGTTTGTTGCACCCAATCACTTGACAGATGTAAGGCCGCTCTCCTGTCAATTAACAACAAATAGACAACGATGTTATTCGAAAGTGGGTTAAAAACACACAAACAAACAAACAACAAAAAGACAAAAATTCACTTTCCTATAAGGAATCGAAATTAAAACTTCAAATTCAGCGCTTCGATGCTCTGACACTATGTTGCAGAGCACTCTATGAATATGTGGCCTGAGTTATGTGCTTAGAAGCAAAGTGAGAGTTACATCCAAGTGTCTTGCCCTCCCCTGAGGTAGGGCTTAAACGGATCTGTAACCAAATTAATTTTCGGCCCGTCTGGCAATTCTTCGGAAAGATTGCTTGACGACCCAAAAGAAAGTCGGCCACCGTAATATGCTTTTAACAATTAGGCCCCCGTGACATCAACAGGACTCGTCTTCAAAAAAGTGACAAATCCGACCTTTTTGGTTAAATCTGGCAGCAGCAATGAATGTAATGTACCTGTATGTATTCGTGAGTGATTCTTGTAGTTAGTGGCGCTAGCAAATGACCGTCCGCAGCCTTCGTGTTCACACACATAAGGTCGTTCACCTGTGTGAGTTCTCATGTGTACTTTCCTTATATTAGATGTGGTGAAGGAGCGCCCACAGTCGGGGAATGGACACGTGAACGGCCTTTCTCCTGAAAAAAAAAAGCAAAACAAAGCTCAGAAACGGATTTATCAGATCTGAATGGTGCTAGCAGTTCACTGTGTTCTCTAGTGTATTTTACAGCGTACGAGGAAACCTGGCAAGGATTGTAGTCAAACTGATACAATACATTATGAAGCCCTTTTCTGAGATGACTTTTTTTTTAAAAGACCTTATAATTCGGGTCCCAGTCGTATAAAGGGTAGACAACGGTATCCAGCGGAAACGCGATGGCAAAACGTTTACGCTATCCACTGCATAGAGATTTATCCAGTGGATTTCAAACAATTGGCGCCAGGAGGCAAAGACGCTCGAAAAATGCTCGAATCCGGAGGCATGAATCAATCACTGTTCATGCGATGAAAACTTAACTGTTAGCAAAACACAGTGTAAAAGTGGACAGACAGTAGGGTAAGTACTAGGGGTGTTGTATAGTGTCACCCTTCCCCCTTCTCTGAAAAATCCTAGCCACGCCCTTCCCGATGATTGAACAACCACTGACCTTGAATTTGAGCTCTGCTCACTTACCTGTATGCGTGCGCACATGTTTCTGCAGATCTCCCGACGTCTTGAAAGCCTTACCGCAATCATCATGGGGACATTTGTAAGGTTTCTCTCCCGTGTGGGTTCGTGTGTGACTCTTCAAACCATACCCTGTAGCGAATGCTTTATCACAGCCTTCAACACGACATTTAAACGGTTTCTCTCCTGTGTGAGCGCGTTCATGAACCTGAAAATCAAAAGAACATTTGATTATGGCAACTGATAACTGTCAGTCGATTTAATCAATATTTAAATAATTACACTTTAAGATTAGATCAATCTTTTTAAGGGCAAATTCAAATTTCCTGATTCCAATGCAAATACAGTGAGAGAGTTCAGGATAGAAAAAAAATTTGAGAAACTGCGCTAAGTTTCAGTCCAAAAGATAGAAAATATGTGAACGCCTGACTGAACTATACGATTTTTATTTTAGTTGTTTTTCCTAAAAACCGTACACCTCATACACAGGTGGGTCCACGACAACATTAGAGACTAAGTTATTTCTCATAGCTATCTTCCTTTTTAGGAAGGATTATCAATTCTACAAATCTACATGCACTGTTGCTACAAGTATACAAAGCCACTACTAATAGATTTCTTTTAACCTCGACCTGATTTAGCAAAAATAAACCGCACAGAAAAAACACTCAGTAGATCTGGGTAGAACTAACACACAAACCTTCAGATGATGCGCTGTAGTGTACACCTTCCCGCACCCTTCGTGATCACATCGGTAAGGTTTTTCTCCTGAGTGAGTTCTTACATGCTTCGTCAAGTCACTCTGAGTGATAAAAGCCTTCTCGCAGCCTTCCTCTTCACACCGAAACGTGTCTCCCGTATGACTTCGTCCATGAGCTTTCAGTCGGTATGACGTGGAGAACTGCTTGCCACACCCATCGATTACACAGTGGTAAATCTTCTTGGCTGCTGCCTGGTTATGCAAAAAGAGACCACAAAAGTTAACCCTTTACACCCAAACATCAGCATTGATAGTCTCCATACTGTTCTTTATACATTTCCTAAGGAGCTGACAAGGAGACTTTCTTTAACAATCAAGAACTTCTTTAGT